TTTTTTGCATGACACAACTGGGCATTTTTCCACATTAATTTGAATTTCTCAACAATTACTGCAGATCTGTGAACAGGTGAAAATGTAAGCAGTGGTAGAAGTACATGGTATATGTATCGGATGTTAATACACGTATATGGAATATGGTGATTAAGTGGCCCATTGGCCGTGCCGGAGGAAAATGTATTTAGTTTTTCTGTTTTACATGCTGCTACTGTTGTGAGGTCTTTGAGAAAAAAATGTTTTTGTGTTTTAGGCGTAGAATGTGTTGCCTATCCCTGTTTATTAATTGCAAGGATTGAGCGTTCATTCATGTAGGAACTTGTAGTAAGTGAGCTTCATGTCAGTCATGTTGTAACTTGGATATTTGTCATTGTTAGTGAAGTTTAAGGGGTGTGTCACCGCTGAGTGATCATAAAACCAGTAAAGTAAGATTCTTCAGACTGTGGAATGCAGCTCACACCAAGATAATGTCTTCAGTCTTCTTAAGAAAAAGGTGGATAAAAGAGAGAGACTTTCAATCTGCCACATACGCATGAATCATGTTTTATTACAAAAAAAAATGTTGAAAATACAGCTCGTTTTATACATGACAGCCATATGTACAGGATATAAAACAGAAAGACAAAAATAGATCATTGCGGTTAATAAGACAGCATCTAGAAGGGAGATGATCGAGTGGATTTTTGAAAGGCAACGAGGGCTGCGTGTGAAGAGCTCTGTGTGACAGGAGTCTATCACTGACAGAGGTTTACACTTCATCTGTCTCAAGTCTCACATCGTGTCTAATACACATGACTCCTCTGTTTTCAGCCCCGGTGCCTTTCTCAGGCAGAAAGATGGTTCTTTAGGCACCAGATTGCAGATTCACAACATCTAGAAACACTGTCTGAATCAAAATAAAATCTTTCCTCACCTGACGTCTTCAAAAATTATAATGGGAAATAAAATCTGTCACGTTCTGACATGTCTAAAGGCAGCGCAATTTCAGCAAACAGTGAAGACTGCTCAGAAATCCTTTTCTAATCTGCAGAAATGCAGCATTATGTTAAATGAAAGGCCTTCAAGTGTAACTTATTAAAACCAACTTGATGATACTAAAGAAAATATTTTAAAGGAGGTTTGTATAACTTACAGTATTATACAAATAGTTTTAACAAATACTGTACATTCTACAGTAAAACATACAACAACAACAAAAACGCTATTAAAAATAATTTATGACATATTCCAGAGAATAAGAGGAGAAAAAAATAACATAATAGTCCCAATTTAGAGACCAACTTTAATTGGTCATTATTTGTTTTGACAGCGCAGCTAATTTCATAAAACTTTGATTTGTTCGCAAAGGAAAGAAAATTATAATTAAATCACTTGGTGAAAAAAAGAAAAACATCCAAAACCTGCATTTGAAAATCTAAATCACTTGAACATCTACAACTCTTAGATTGATATTAAAGCACGAAACAAAAATAAAAAGAAAGCTATCCCAAACAAACAATACTATAAACATTTAAATATTAACAGTTCTATAAGAAGAATAAGTAAATACAGTAGTAAAAATAAAAAATAAGTGATTGAACCTCAGACAAAGTTGCCAAGAACACGTTTCAATTGAAACTAAATGAGAACCTTTGTGAAAAAAAAACACTTGAGTCTTTTCACAAGGAAGTACAAATAAAAAAGGTTGATATTTTAGTGTTGGTGTAAGAATATCTTACAACTGATCAATCGTGTTTACAATACAGCAAATACCAGAATGAATGGTAGATATTACATTTTCCTGTACTTCAAGGCTTGTTTGTTGCCTTTTGAATGTTTAGTCTAATTAAAATAATGTAAGTTACCTGGTTTCTGCTGAAACAAAGGCCTCAACTTCCATTTTACGTCTACGTGTGAAGCAAAAACCGGAAAATAACTGATAATTCACTAAGCCTGTTCTCTGTGAGCAGGGGTAACAACAGCAATGGTATGTTTAAAACGTCATCCAACGTGTAAAGCGTGGACTTCAGCCTCAACAAAGCAACATCATCGACCGTGTGTGTCCGACCGAACTGCAGCGAGGCCCTGACCTGACACTGTAAACGTCACAGCCTCAGCACTACCCTGTAAACACACAAACAAATAACCTGCTGCAACACACCAGATATGTTGACTCTACGAAAATTTTCATCTCTGTCGCTTTGTCTCTGCGGTCTGCATGACATCAGGTTTCCTAAACAGTCTGAAGTTTGGCCAAGAGTCATGACGGTCATAAACCCTGGTTTCAGCTGGGATTCTTTTAGTAATGTACACAGTACTACTGATTCACCCCTAGCCATGGAGGGGAAAAATTAAGAGAAACACGAGTACCGCAGTACTCTGTTAGTTCGGTCCATTCAAAGCATGAGTTATAGTCAGGTACATATCTCAAGAGGGCTAAGGCTAACTACCAACAAAGATTAAGAACAGACACATGGGCCAGAAAGTGGCTCTATCACAGTATCGAGCGATCAAGGTAATCAGCCTCCGAGTCAGAGGTAAGATGTGTGTGGCCTTTTCTTGCCTCTCCTCCCTTTAAACCCAGGTGTGTGTTCCACGCCGCCTACACTGCCAAAATGAGTGCAGATGCTCTGCAACTTTTCCCAGGTCTATGTCAGTCTGTATCAGGGGCTGTCGCCCGCTTCCACGTCACTGCTGTCAGGGGCGCCTGTGTAAATCGGGCGTTTTGTCTGCAGCGCAGGCTCATATTTACGTGGGGATGACCTGTTGGCAGCCTCACTGCTGTTCTTGATACCGTAACAGAAGTAGATAACGAAACCTGGAAGAGAGAAGGGGAGGAAACAGGACGTTACACAACAGTTACACAAATGTGTGGCAGTGGAGAACAGGAAAAGTAGTGATGAAACGTACCAATAACCATCCAAACAGCAAAACGGCACCATGTACCCATATCCAGCTGCATCATGAGGTAGATGTTGACAAAAACACTGAAGAGGGGCAGCCAAGGAAGAAGGGGGACCTTGAGAGGACACAGACAAAGTCAGCATAACGATATTTCAAAATTCTCATAGATCTGTTCTCGGTAGCAGGAAGAAGCCGAAATCATCTCTCTGCGGCCAAAACTGTTGCTAATTCAACAGTTTAGCTTTCCCAAAATAAAGAAGTAAAGACTAAACAAATATATCTGCATTCTCAGGGTGCGATCGTTACCTTGAAGGTTAGAGCCTCTTTGCTCTCAGGCTGCCTGCAGATGATTATGACGCAGACGACACACAGCAGAGTCAGAATGACACAGGGCACCACGACGCCTGCGTGCCCCGTCAGCAGCTCATTCAAGAAGTTGGCCAGGATGACGCACAGGATGGTGATAAGAACAGCTGCAAAGACCGAATTAAAACAGAGAAACGGTTACTTAAACTGGTCGCAGCAAAGTGAGAATTACTGCTCTACGTTGAGCCCATACGTACAGATAATAGCAGTGGTTGCGTAGACAATGTTCCCAGAGGTTTTCGTTGGCGTCTTTCCACTTGGGCAGAAGAGCAGCTTGACAGTGAAGGTCTCTTTGAGCGGCCTCTCCTCCATCTCGTTGCTGTACTCGTCGCCGCTTTCCCCTCCGCCTACAGCCACCTTCTCCCCTTCCACCAGCTCCACCAGTTTCTCCGTCTGGCTTGAGGAACTCAGGGTACCTGGCTGGTACCTGTGGAGGAAGTGTCAGTGAGTGGGTATTTTTTACAGTGGCTTAAAAAAAACACTCTTACGCCGCAGCTAGAAAGCTTTGTACATACAAATAAGAGCTTTATAATATAACATTCCTGTCCTGTTTAGTCCAATTAGAAGGCGATCACAGCCATTTGAGAACCAGCATAAAGCTTCTGTGAACCTTGTGTTTCAGCCGCACACAGATTATAATACAACAATGCTTTTAAACTCTTACTTGGCAATGACATTAGCACAGCAGCTGCTGGAGAGTATTTAACCCGTGATTACAACTTCAGAAGACTTGTGCTAGCAGAGACTGAAAGGTGCTTACCTGAGAATGAGGACACAGATGGCCACTAAAGAGTATGCTAACAGAGTTCCAATAGACATGAGGTCAACCAGAGCTGCCAGGTCGAACAGGAAGGCCATGAGAGCTGTAAGGAAATGCAAAACCAGATTTCTTTACTATAACCAAGTCTTTGTAAGCCAGAGAAACAAACTGATGTTTTAATGGTTTACACTGCTCACAATGCAAGTATTGGCAAAATAACATGTATCCATATTTTGCAGAGTTTCTATAGTATAAGCTGTTATTGACCCTGAAAAGACAGACTGCTAGATAGATCTGAAGCAGGAGACAGAGCTGTGACCCTGGCAAAAAAATAACCAACCACAATCAACATACAATCTCGAGAGAATTGACAGTATCAGATAGAGACAGCAACAAACAGCCTTCTGGCCTAAAACAATGAACACACATGACAAGAGAGACATCTGCCAAATAAACACAACCAGAAGCACATGCAAACAGAAAACAAGTTGTGCAAAGTACATAAATGTTGACAGTGAACATACCTGCAACAATACCAGAAGCAATGGTGGCCAGGAGGGGGGTCTTTGTGCGTTCATTCATCCTGGACAGAATACGGAACAGCAGTCCATCCTCTGCCATGGCGTAGATAACTCGAGGCATGGGAAACATAGAGCCTAGGAGACTGAGGAGCGATAAATGGTCACCAAATTATCTGAATCTTTAGTGCGAAAGAGATTTACGGTGTTAAGTAAAAGAATGCAGAGTGTCAAGAAAATGTTTTTTGTCTTTACCTGGTGGACAGAGCACAGAGGGAACCCACAGCAACGATGTATCTGGCAGGCGCCCAGGCAACGTAGCTGAAGGCCTCAGGCAGAGGACTCTGGGAGTCCAGCTTGTAGTAAGGCATCATCAGGGTCAGAGCAGCAGACACACCGAAGTAGGCGAAAAAACAGATGAGCAGCGAGGCCACGATGCCAATGGGGATGGACCGCATGGGGTTCTTTGCTTCTTCACCTGAGAACAAAATAAAAAAACAGGATTCGATGAAATGAACAGGTGAAATTTGATGCTTGTAGCAAAACCATAATTGCATTAATGAATTCCAGTCTTCATAGCACCTATGAAAGACCCGAGGGTGTTTCCAGATGGTGACATCACATTTCACTCAGTTATGTAACATGGGCTTTAAATATGTGCAACGGGTGCTGTGTCAACACCAGCATTGTTGAAATATGATGTGAATGTTCAGACATTTCCCGTAGAGATATTAAAATCACTCACTTGTTGTGGCGATACAGTCGAAGCCAACAAACGCATAGAAGCAGGTGGCAGCACCAGACAGGACTCCGGTGAGGCCAAAGGGGGCGAATCCACCCACACCGAATTCCTCTTCGACTCTGAGTGGCAGAAGACGACACGCATGGTTTAATAGTCATGAATAACAGTTAAGCACAGAAGAGACGGTAAAACTTTTGAGATTAAATACTGACGGATATGGCGCGCTGCTGTTGGTGCTATTTTTGTAGCCGATGTAGTCTTCCTCTGTCAGGTTCCAGTTGGCTGTGTCCCCCTTCACAAAGCCGGAGATGATAACGAAGCCCAGGACCACCAGGTTGATGCCCGTGAAAATCTTATTCACCAGCGCCGACTCGCTCACGCCAAAGGCCAGAAGTCCTGAGGATAGAAAGTAAAGAAAGAGAGGAGAGAGAAGGAAGGGAGAGGGATGTGAATTCATATTTCAGCTCCCAAACCAACATGCGACGTGGGTGGATGTTTTCATACTTCATCACTTACCAACATACCATCAGTCAGAGACTAATCCACCAATCATTTCTTTCTAACACGGCTACTGGCAAAACACTCTAGCTGCAATGTTGGTGTGACAACTGTTCAGGCTATTATTTAATATTATAACACAGCACTGACAATGGCTATGTTTGCATGGACTGCAATAATCAAAGTGATGCCCTGATTTTACATAAAAGTATTTAATTGAAGGGGTTGCTTTTAAAAATACTAAATTTTAACAATCAACAGCTGATCACTCATTAAACAAATAAATTGGAATTATTCAGTGACATTTTATTAAAACAAAAATGTTCTCTTTCCCTATGTATCAATCACGTTCTCCCTCTCCTCTAACCCCCAGAAGCCCTTTACAGACTCTACAGATCTGGGACTAAGCGTTCACACAAGGTGCCTGGGTAGAGAATGTAAGAGACAGGACATAATATATAAATCCTGCGGTTCAAGTAGTGCGGTTTTGTTTACAGCTTTCTGGCTTCTGGAAATGTTTTAGCTGTATTCTCATAAGGACAGATTGGGATTTCCTAGGATGCTGGCATGAAAAGTTTTTCAGGAAAATGCTTAAAACTAATGCGAAGGGCTAACTCACCAGTGAGCAAGAGCACCAGAATGAGGGCAAACAGGTCGGGGTAATCTGCCAGCACTCCCCCTGGGACCTTCATTGTCATGGATGCTTTGAAGAAGTCAGAGATCTTTTGTTCAACCAGGCTGTCAAAGGTTGAGCTCCACGCCCTGGCCACACTGGCTGTACCTGGGAGAGAAGGCAGAAAAGTCAACAATGTGGTGACAGTAAATAAATCATCCTTTCCATTTGTTCTTGATCATTTGGGGGCGTTTTAGTGTTAAAGCCTACCTATCACATAGGAGAGGATGAGGTTCCACCCGGTGATGAAGGCCCAGATTTCTCCAACTGTCACATAGCTGTAAAGATATGCAGAACCCGTCTTGGGCACACGAGCCCCAAACTCGGCGTAGCATAGCCCGGCCAACATGGAGGACAGAGCAGCGATGAGGAAACAGAGGACAATAGCGGGTCCTGCCTTCTCTCGGGCGACCTCACCAGCCAGGACATAGACACCGGCACCGAGAGTGGAGCCCACCCCCAGGGCAATTAGGTCCAGGGTGGACAGGCAGCGAGCGAATCGGGTCTCTTCGCAGGAGCAGTCCAAAGCCCTGCGACGCAACAGGCTTTTGCCAAAGTTGGACAGCTTGGTGCTCATATTTGCTGTGACTGTGCGTGGGTGCTGAAGCAGGCTAGGTATTCGTAATCCTTCAAGTGTGGGTGTGGGACTGACACTGCTTAAACACAACACGTATGAGAGTAGACGTGCGTAGAGCAGATGGGATAGGTAAACTGAGCACTTGTTTGTTATTGGTCCACTGGCGTAGGTGTGTTCACTTTAGTGGAGCAGACAGAACAGGAAGTGGGAGGTCTGGTCACAGAAGCAGCAGATTGGGACCTGTGAAGTAACACAAGAAAACAACAGCTCAGAACAGGGGAACTGTTTGGTAACTGCTAATGGTTGCATTTCTCAGAGCCCTGTGCAGTCGGATTATCCACAGAAACTGTGACAGGATTTTAAAACAAACAAACCCAACACTGAAGAAATTGTCAAATCTAGGACACGTTCCCTGCGAACCTGGGTTGTACGAATAACAACTTTATAACATTAGTTAAGTTTATTTGTATAGTCTGATCTTACATAGAATGTCTCAGCAGGTTTAAAGATACATTTCTAGTGAACACAGGTAGCATCGCACATGTTGGAGACTTTCCTGGAGAGACTTGGCTGGTTTTGATAGATAATACAAGATGAGATTCCACTACATGAAAATCTGTATAAATACCAGACTGTTACATAACTTCCAGGAATTCATGCCTCAACCTCTCGCAGTGTAGTAAGGACTATCCTACTCTGCTTACATTTATACCTGCTATGACACACACCCCTATAACAACAAGAGAAAACCCTGCTTGATTCCTCACCACTCCCTTGCTGTGTAAAAGGGCGTCCTCCTGCTCGTGTTGTGTTTTTTCAGCAGATGGAGGCTGACAGAGAGAAGCCTGGGAAAGCCAGAGGCTGTGAGGAGACGCTAAGATCAGCAGGGGGAGAAAAGGACAGAACGAACCAGGGGCTTGATAAGGCTAACCAGCTGCACTGGGGTAAGGTTGATATACAGATAAGATCCACTATAATAACTGGCCCTTACCCAAAGTAACAACTCCACGAAAATGTCAAATAACCATTTACCCTTAAAAGAGGAATTACAATACTTTAAATAAGTAAAAGTCATTTTCTCCATGGATATTATTTTGAAAAAGTGCAATGTGTCCATTTTTGAGTAATATCAAAGTGTAGAACATATTAACACTGACTGATTAATGACCCATGCATTATCAATGATATGAACTTTCAAGCTTGAAGAATAACACAGACAAAACCATCCTCATCAGCCGCATGATATACATCAGTGGTATCGACCCTGTGAAGTTCAAGACTGATTGATACATGCGCACAAACGCAACAGTTCATATTTGGCCAAGGACACTAGGCAAAGCAAATCTGACACAGACACAGTGTTTTGCAACAAGACTCTGGAGGCAGTTAGTCGATTGACACAGAGGGGCTGTGGGAAAATATATCTGAAATTGAAAGCTGCTGCAATTTTGTTGTTTTCCAGCCAAAGAGACAATGTCCTTAGAATTGCTATTGTTTTAAAAGCTGAGGTGAAGATTATTAATGCCCACATGCAAGTTATGCCAGAATAATTACATGTTATTTCATTGCATTTCATTACTTGAGGTGACACACTTGTTGGCATATGTATGTTATATGATGTGATGTGTGGTTTTTAACAGAGCCAGGTTTGGCAAGGGCGAGGCAAGCACAGTTAATCTGCAAATACTACACCACATTCAATAGTATTGCCATAACAACTGCTACTGTGATGACTCATCATGGCCATAGCCCTAACTCCGCTGTCCTGTTGTTATCTAAAAGATTCAGTTCTCGCAGACTGAAGACATATTAATCACTATTCTACGAATTTATAGAAGAACTTTTTTCTCTTATGTCTTAATAAGCCGGGCGAAAAAACTTCTGCCCTGAATTCCAGTTCCACTTGAAATTCAGTGGCAAGGATCAGCTCTGCAGTTTTTTTCCTCCAACACACGGCTTGAACTCAGGCTTTGCGCGGGTGGAGCCGCATCAAGGCCACGTTGAACTGTGTCCAAGGCTATTAATGCAATGACACCCGATTCCCTGGTGTGAATGCTGAGAGGGCAGACGGACATTTCAGGCCCATCGGTCACTTCTCTAGTCAGGGAGCAAACGGAAGAAGAGAAACACTAACCCAGTCGACAGAGACCAGGTGGCAGAGTATGGTACCTACCTGGATTAGAGGCTGGGCAAAAAAATTAAAAATACACTCTCACACACTTATTACATGTGTGCAATTTAGGATGAGTGATATTTGCGAGACTGCTTGTCTGATTTTCACAAAGTAATTTTTTGTTGTGACATTTTTCCTGTTAACCTCGTGTCAACCCGAGCTGTTGTGGGCAGAACATGAGAATATCCACATCCTCCATTTCAGAAACCTAATGAAGCATAACGCAGCCTGAAGCTGTGATCACCAGCTCTGGCTTTTTGTTCGCTCTCTTTTGTGCACTTCAAATTTTTAAAAGTCAGCTTTCATTCCGGCTCAGGAGGTGATGCCAACTGAGGCTCCAGGTGCTTTGAGACAGCAGTGAAGAGCTGGAATCAGATTAAACAAGAATAATGGACAAAACTGGACATGGGGAACAGAAAAAAATTAAAGACGAGGCCACAACATGCAAAGTGGTAAGACACTGTCTTTAGTTATTAACCAGCTTGTACTTCTAAAGTTTCCTTGTTTATAAAAAAAGAATGAAAATGCAAAGAAGCACCAAAACCTCAACAGGTTGACAAGTTCAGTTCATACAGAGGTTTGGGTCACAGGATATGCTAAACAATTAAAAAAAGATGCAGAAGAAAAAATGTCTTTCAGCATGGATTATGTTATGATCTAATTTTGGTCTGTTCTTTCAGCACAATAGCAATATTCTATTTATACCGTAAAAACAATATAACCTATTTATCAAAGCACTTCTAGCCTCACCATTTCAAAAGAGAATATCCTGCCCTGTACAGTTAAGTGTTGAGAGAAAAAGACAAACACAGTGAAACAATGAAATAAAAACAACACGGTGCATCCGACAACCACAATAATAAACACTCGAACCTCTGAAGATTGATGGGAAACTGGTACTTGGGTGGAAACATTCCCACTCCCCACTTGGTGTGACATTCCAGTTGCATTTTCAACTTGCACACCAGGAACTGAGATCTGAGAGTGTCAATGTTGTGTCAATAAACATTTATTACTAAACTACTGTGCCCAGCTGACTGTGATCTCCTCAGGGGGTTCGCCCCAACGCTGCACATACATTCACCAAGTGGAACAAAGGTGCAACTGAAACTGTGCAAACTGTCAAATACCAAGAGGACGAAGAGTTCATCCTTAACTGAAGACAAAGGATAATTTACAAGGAAATGTCCTTTTTCCTTCCTTTCATGTACGGGCCAAGTTGAGGCACAGTTCCATCATCTCTGGCACAGCTCATTTAGGGGTGGTCTCATTAAAGTTATGCTGGAACCACCTTAATGTCAGTCTGCCCTCACGTCATCTACCAGCTAATCTTTTCCTTGTGGTTTCCACGAGGGTGCCCCCTTTGCACGTAGGTGTAGGTCACAAATGTTCCGTCTGTGAACTACTCTGCCATGCAACTGCCCGCACACACCAAGAGGAAAAGGTTGGTATGGTAGCTGCAGACATTTTCTCCTCCTGTAATCAAAAAAACTAACGCACAACTTTCAATGGGAAGAAAATGTGAAGTAAGAAAAGGGGAGAAAAGTAGATTTTTGTTTTACTGTCAAACATGGGACTGGCCAAAGGGCTCTTTATCTTTGGAGGGCGATCATCAATGACTTGAGTGAACAGTGCCTCCGTTACAACAGGCCTCAGGGATAAAGACCCTGTTCCTTGACTTAGCGTTGCTGCAACTGCTGCCGTGCACTCTAAGAGGATTATTGGGACAAGTAACAAAACTGCTGACCCCATTGTACACTAGCTTGTTGCTGCTCCTCGTTCTGTACATATAAACAACACATGGCTTTGTTTTGACCACCATTGCTGTCAACAGTAACACAGCACCTGGGTACTATGACCAGAGCAGCAACATTATTTCTAAAAAGAATCGTAACATCAATTATATAATTACCAATTATGAAATGGAAAATGCTAAATTATATTATTAAAATAATTCTGGTGATAATACAACTGTATGGTCAATTGTGAGGCCAGCAGCCGAGCAGAGTGGACAACATGTTCCAGGGCAGCTATTGAAAGAGCACACATGACCTTGCATAACCCTGGAAGGAACACTGTATCACGTCTGGCTGAACACAGCCAGTGAACTATTATTCTAGCCATTACAAACAATGTTTTTCCCAATGTTTGTATGTTTAAGATACACACTCTGCGGTTTCATGTAAAGGTTTGTACGCGTTTTGTTTAGTTTTTTTGCGCTGATGTAGGTGTGTGCAAGTACATGGTGATCCGACCGTCTGCTGAGACCAAACCGAACGACCCTCTAGGTCACCTGGTGGGACACCACGACCCCTTCCAAGAAACTGCGCTCGCTGTGAAACTGAATGTGACAGTCTGAGGATCTGGTCACTTTCCCATGACCAATGCCAACACTATCGTCACAATAACAACACCAGCCACAAGAACAGAAGCACACGTTAGAAGCAAAGGATCAAAGGCCAATTAAGACATGAGTGGGCTCAAAGACACGGCTCAATTAAAAAATGTGCCATGCATGCGGAACACTTGACTGTTTCCCTTGTAATTCTCTCATCCATCTATCCAATTAAATAAATAGAAAAAAATATTTATACAGAAATTTTTTTACAACAAAAAACAAATTAAGTCTTATACCTTTTTACATTAATAAAATACTATACATTGGTGTGACACGAACATGCTGACCCTAACTTGACAAAGTTCGACACCAAAATGTAAAGTAGGGACTTTAAGGATGTGGTGAAAACTTGCAAAAAATTAGCTTTTCAACTGCTAACCCTAATCCTCACTTCTCGAAAAACAAATAACAGGTTAACCTTGACAGACAAGAAATAGTCAGAAATGACAGACATCACAAGGCAGCATGACAGACATCACCCACTGGTTTTTTAACATGGTTGGTGACGGCTAATGCATTTAAAACATTTTGATTAAGTCATGAAACATAAGTATTCCTAATTAATGGGAAACTGCAAGGCAGCCCATATTTACAACTAATACGCTGTCTGACAGATCAGTCCTGTCTATAACTTTTCGCAATATAACTAGGACAGGAACAAATTATAATTAATATTATCGATTAACCTGCTGATCGTTTTCTGGAGTAATAGTTTGACTGTATAATTTATCTTTATGTTTGCAGTTATTTGTCTCTGTAAAATTAAAGAAAGTGATTCTGTTTATTTCCTCATAGCTTCAGGAGACTTCATACATCCCTCTTCGTCCAAAAGGAACAAATCCTCACTTTTGAGAAACTTGAGCCAGAAAATGTTTGGTATTTTTTCTTAAAATATAATAATGATATTTGACAACATTTTGTGGATTTACAGCTCACTGAATAATGAGGATTTTTGTACCTGCAGCAGTGAGAGACACAACTTGAAAAATCTATTCTATCAATAAAGTTTACATTTCCTTATCTCAATCTGAGCTGCAATTACACTATATGTGGCCCCTGGTTGGTCCAACAGCGGCTCTGTTCGACCCTGGGTCACGTTGCCCAACCCGGATCCACACACGGCACGGTAGGTTTTGAACACGGGGCGGCTCTCAACCGGCTGATGCAACGGGGGCATGGCTGACACCTTGAGCACCGGGAACACCGTGAACGGCGAAGTGAACCCGTGAGGATGAGTCACATGGACGCGGCCACTCGCGGATGATCAAAATCAAAGCTGGTGTAAAGAAACAAAGATGAACGTTAAAAGAAAAGGTTACTCACGCGCAGAGTTCACCGCACTGCGAGACACTCGCCTGTCCGACACTCAACACCAGCTACGTGGCTGCCGCTCTCGCGTGAAGTTAATGCCGCCTTCGAAATTTCCGGACACAAAAATTTCCTATTGACCTAAACACACCTGCTTTAACCCATCTGTGTTCCCTTGTGTTTCCTGGTGTCTGCTGTATGCAGCATGTTAGCAGCATGTTAGCAGCCGCAGGTGGGTGACTTTAGACGCAATGTTGCATCAGTGTTTGGTGTTGTAGCTTTAAATACTCACATTACTGCACGCTGACACATTGTTGTTTTATTGCATCAGTTGCAAAGCGGACACGTGTTTGCTTGAATACAAATAAATGCACAGATGGTCGACAGCTAGATTTATTAGTAACACAGTCCGTTTGTATTTACTGATAACTCACTACATCAGTAGAAGTCCAACGCTTTGAACCAGTCTTTGAATGCAGCAAGAATGGGTCGGTCTTTATATACAGTCTATGGTCGGTCCACGCCTCGCGTGCTAACCGGCTGCTAACAGTGCTAACCGGCCACAACAATGAATGGAAACCACCGGTGCTAACACGCTAAACTTCGCTTGGTGTGTGTAAAACAGTAGGAACCGTCTTTGTTTTCCACTATGGCCGCCTCTCATTCATTTACCCGTTTTTCCGGAAATTCAGCTGATTCCCCGCTTGAATGACACGTCAAACCGCCTCACTAAAACCCAGCCGCACAGAAAGAACCACACATTTGAATAAAAACACAAACACAACTGTCTCTGTTCGTTCAAAGAATACGTTTAAACACCGACTAGAGATGGAGGACGACACGTTATTTGAAAATTAAACCGAGCGCCAACACAACTGACATCGCCACACGCGGGGAATGATTGCATCATTTCGAGTGGACGTAAGAAACCCGTCGTTACATCGCGATAAACGCAAAGAAAACGTTATTGTTGTGTAAATGGAACATAAAGTGGTTTACCTTCACTGTCTTCTGGTGGGTGAGGGTGAACAGACACAGGACAAAACACCGGGAAACTGCTGTTGCGGCAGCTGACGAAATTTACAGGCTCCTTCCGTGTGTCTGTCTCATAGACTGTATATAAAGAGGTCTGTCTTTAAGAGTGTAAACACCGTACGTAAATGACGTAAATGGGGGCGGGTCTTTCCGCTCATGAATGGGGGGAGGGGGGGGGGGCGGAAAGAACATGGGCGAAGAAACGCCGTAGTTGTTCTCACGCGTCTGATCCGGTCATCGATTGTTGTTAACGAGAGTTTGATCGAAAAAGATCAACTCAAGAGAACGGGATCACGCGCGAAAGAGAATGTTTCTGTTGATGTGTGCGCGTGCTATCCCTGGAGTAGAGATTCCATATATGGGCACATCCGCCGGGGCTTTGTAGATCAAAGGGTCACTGATGTTGACCCAACTATCAGTAGTTGGACTGTTTGATCTCCATCTCATTGAGGTCATCATCCAAAATCCTGACCTGTGATGGAACACATAATAATTAGCTAACTTAGGTAACCACACTGTACAAACACACACATGTCGCTTTTACTTACAAGTACAATTCTATAGAGTCAATGAAATGTGATGAAATGGTTCTAAAATGAAAGTATGTATTTTCCACTGTTGCTGAGGTGAGGCTCATGCTCTGCTATTTTACATGAGACTGCAACTATTTCTTTATTTTCATTGTGGATTTAACATGAAACATGATCACAATAGTATACGGTTGGATAGTTAAACATTATTTAATCCTTGAATATTTTGTATGTATATGTTCAGTAACTAGTAACTACATCGGTTAAACAAATGAATTGGAGCAAAAAGTAAGGCGTGTCCTTGGGCAAGAAACCTAAACCCAACAGTGCCCCCTATAAAAAAGTGCTGCCCATAGATGCACTGCGTTAATGTGTGTTTGAATGAATGAATGGCAATAAATTGTAGTATAAAACCTTTTGAGTGGTCAACAAGACTAGAAAAGCTCTTTATAAATTCAGACCATTTACCATTCACTTGAGTAAGTTATCTCTAGTATTCAATACCATGTATGATATGAAATTCAGTGACATCATGTATGAACAGTAGGCTAAATGAGGAGGTGATGTACAAAATACAACGATAATTTCAAAGTAATGCCAGCTGATGCAACGCCAATGCAATATGGCATCAGAGTTAATTATAAATACAGTGGCCGAAATACAGTGTCAGCATACCACTGCTGATACCGATACTGGAGTCTCAATATTGGTGCCAGAACTTCCAGACTTGTAGATAGAGTGGGCAATATTAGCAGAGAAAATAAGCAACAATCGAATATATTTCATATTCATTTAATACATTCTCATTCTCTCTCGTCTGTGATAAATGATTTTAAACGATATTGTGGTTTGGTGCTCATATTTCCAAATGACTTTTCCCACTTTGCCTTGTGAACAGATCAGCCATGCAAAGGAACACATTGTTTTGGCTGTCCATCTATTCATTATCTGCACCGTTTATTCTTTGTGGGTCACAAGGGGCATGGAGCCAATCCCAGCTGACCATGGGGGGGTGACAGGTTACATCAGGCCATAGCAGGGCCGACATGTTGAGACAAACTACCATCCGAGATTACATTGACACCTACGGCCAATTTAGAGACTTGAGATTTATTTAGAGAATTAATAACCTTTAGACTAGAGAAGAACTCAGCGAAAAACCCATTCCCACATGAGTGAACATAGAAAGGCCCTGGTCAAACCCAGGTCCCCTGCTGTTTAGCGATGGTACTTACCACTGCACCACCATGCCAACCCAAATTCTGAGTCTAGCATTTAAATTCAGACAAATTTTTATTATGTAAACTGATTTATGTTTTAAATATAGAATTCAAAGCTTTATAAATGAGACATTCAGTCTGTGTCTTTGCAAACCAAGAAACCCACTGTCTTGTACAATGAAATTCTGTGTTTCTTTCTGTGCAGTTGATGGTTATTCTGAATTATTTGTCCTCTTTTCTCAGTGTTTAGGTCTGGATAGCTGCTTATCATCTGTTTTACACTGAATGAATTGCTTTTCCTGCCTTGGGAAATAACCAGAGAGGTAACTTGGAATGAAATGGATTTGTAAATTGCATTTTCTCCCTCTCAACCCGTCCAGGGGTAGTATAGTAGCCACTCGTCTCACCTTTTGTCCTTGCCCAGTCACACTGCTTTGGGTTGCTCTTTCAATTTACTTCCACTTTATCAACCTAACCCAACTGTGTGTCTCTGCAAACACAACAAGCGTCATGGCGGCACATTAGGCTCAAGCATTAAAACTGCTAACAAAACACCACCTAATCTCCGCCTTGGCTCAGTGTGCCCATCCTGTCTGCCCACTTTCATTACTCGGGACATGGCGAGCACTTCAAAGCTCACTAGTTTTGTAGGTCACTGCCCTGACTGAGGAGAAAGGTCAGGGTTGGTGTGCGGATCCCAGGGTTTCTGCATATTTTCTCATTTCATCATTCTCTGAATTTCAAGTTATAAAGCATGTTTGTTTTGATATATGAAGATATATGTATGGGCAAAAATCAATTCTCATTCTGGAAGAGGGGTCCTTCTCCGTTTGCTCCTCTGGAGGTTTTTTGTCCAAATATCTTCTGTAAGGATAATGACCAACTAAATCAGAATATTTACATCTTTTTCTTATAAGCAACTTACTGACTGCTTCTAATTCCTTTTATTTTATATTCACACACCTACTTGTGTCTAATTTAGATCACCTGCAGTTCAAGGCCTACATCACAAGATGACTATTCTAGGACAAGTTTAATCCACCTGTGGCCAGAATTCCCCTCTCCCCTGTTAATCCCTGAGGGTGAAATAAGAAAAGATTAGAGGACCTTAATACTCATGTTTAGCGAAACAAAAAATACCAGCGTTGCCACGGTTGCAAGTTATGATGCTTACTCCCTGACAAAAAGGCAGTTTGTTTTATTTGCTGCACTCCAGGACTGTGCTCTGGTTAAAGCTTTTTGTTAGTTAGTTCATTCTTAGTGTTTACACGTGCCACAGATACAGTTCAGTAAGTCATGTCATATAACTTCATATTCTTCTCAATAAAATGCCAGAAAGTAGAGAAAAGTTTTAGTATATTTTTTTTAACCCAAGCTGATGTTGTCAAATTAATTATATTTAAGCAACAGCTCAAAAGCTAAATATATTTAGTTTGCAATTGCGTGTGAAAAAGACTAGCATTTTATTCAGTTAAAAAGATAGAAATAGAAAAAGTTGGGTTATGTTTAAAAATATTGACATTATCAAATGAGTTGCCTAGTAATTATCTTAATTTATTAACCAATATATTTTACCTAGTGGTGGGTCTGTTCCAAGTAAAAGTCTGGCAGTAAAACCTTTACTTTGGGAAAAGTCAAGATTCAAACATCAAAATGTGAATAATGCTGAGATTTATCAAAGGTTCAAACATGTTTATCTCTTCTCACTACACCAGGAATTCATATAGTCCGTTAGTACCCAGACCACGAGTAAAAACTGTTTCAACCCTGTGTAATTATGTCTTTATGAACAAAGTGTAATGTTTCCAACTTCATGTTGCTTTCACGTGTCATTGTTAAATTAGAGCACCTGCCAATCTGCAGTCACTCATCCAGCTCCCATGACTCTTTGATTTGTCTCAGTGTGACGCACTAATCACTGACCTTGTGCCCAGTTTTGGAGATGATGCTGCAGTTTCCCGACTCATGACCCAAAAAAGATATGGAGATATGACACAGCAGGCAGCAGGGAATTTAATTTGGAGGACAAGAGTAACAAGGAAGTTCCCCGTCACCCAGAGCAGAACTGTAATGATAACATGTATTAATACACTTCACAATAATAGTGACAGAAGGAAAAACGAAACAGGAAAAATAAGCACAAAGTTATCCTTATTGTGGATCAATGAACCAGATGCTGATTACGCCTTTGGAGCAATGAAATATTGTTCATATAATGAACCTCTTGTCACAGTGCTTAGATATTGTTAGTTTACCTAAAATTAAAATTCCCAATAGCTGACTTGACAACACAGCAGGAGGATGTAACTCAGACAGCAGAGTTAAAACAGTTAATTGTAAAAGAATCCTGATTCCAGAACATAAACCTCAGGAGAAAATACACTGACTGGAATGACACGTCGCTGTCTTTTTTTCCCAACATGCTACATGTTGCTCGACTTTGGGAGGCTTCCATCAAAATCTCATGTGTGCTCGCACAGAAAAACACAAATTGAAGCAGGAAATTAAACTCTTTTTAAAAGTTGATTGACTCAATAAAAGAAAAAGAGACATTCAGAAAACATAAGCATCATTGTAAAAAAAAAATCTAGCTATGATAAAATGGAACATGTTTTATTTTTCTGATTACTGAATCAAAAATAATGTACATATAATATGTGGAATGGCTGAATAAAGACATAACATCAAATGTTTAATACAATGGATCTCAATTAAGTCTTGTCCAGGAGCAATAGTTGTGTTTTTCCGACACCGTCGATACTCATCAGTTCTGACATTTCCAGCCGCTTTACAATGACGTGATGTAGAAATAAATGTACACGGGGCAGGTGCAGCAGTCTGTGTTGGCAATGCAACAAAGAAGAGAGAAAAAGGTAAACATGAGCAATAATATTCAAACAGGTTCAAGCTGCAAGTGGAACTGAGTGAAAACAATGTGATGCACTGACTAATTACAATTGCACAATATTATAATTCACAGACAGTCTCAGTGTGGGAAATGACAGGGACAATACAACACTGCCCCATCTCCAACACTGTTTCTATGTGATTTCTTGTTTTCCACAACAAGCATGTAGACAAGACTGTTTCAAGGGACTACAGTTGTACACAGTTACGACTAGGGCTGGGCAATAAAACAATATGAATAATTAT